GGGCCCCCTGCCGACGACAGTGGTGCAGCAACCAGTCACGTGCTTGGTGTCTGGTCAGGGACACGCCGGGGGCACCCGCCGACGAGCAGTGGTGCAGCACCAGTCACGTGCTGGTGTCTAGTCAGGGGCACGCCGGGGCACCCCTGCCGACGAGCTGTGGTGCAGCACCAGTCCAGTGCTTGGTTCTAGTCAGGGGCATGCCGGGGGCAACCCCTGCCGACAGCTGTGGTGCAGCACCAGTCACGTGCTTGGCGTCTGGTCAGAGGCACGGCGGGGAGCACCCCTGCCGACGAGCAGGGTGCAGCACCAGTCACGTGCTTGGCGTCTGGTCAGGGGCACGCCGGGGGCACCCCTGCCGACGAGCAGTGGTGCAGCACCAGTCACGTGCTTGGTGTCTAGTCAGGGGCACGCCGGGGGCACCCCTGCCGACGAGCTGTGGTGCAGCACCAGTCACGCGTTTGGCGTCTGGTCAGGGGCACGCCGGGCACCCCTGCCGACGAGCAGTGGTGCAGCACCAGTCACGCGCTTGGCGTCTGGTCAGGGGCACGCCGGGGAGCGTCGGCATCAGCGCGACACAAAGATACACGTTCGGAACAGTAATGCGAATACCTGCTTACTGCATGTGAAGGATCGGCTGGCGCAACCCGAACCAGATGTGATAGCTCAGAACTGCCCGGTGTCACCAATCGACGCCAATCGATACTTTGCATGACCTGCGCCTTCACGGCAATGAAGCGGACGTGGAACTGCCGTCCGCGTAAAGTGAACTGCGCTATGTAACGCACACCGTACCCCGTGCAGTACAATGCAACATACGCTGCACATGTGCATGTACATCTGTTGCATACGCATACACGGTATGAGGGCTGCAAACGATTGACGCAGACCGCCAGAATTGTGTACTTACGTCGTCTTGCATGCAGACGTAGTTCCCTTGGCCAGCCCAGCCGAAGAGGTTTCCACCGTAGGTCACGGCCACTGACAGCGGGTAGGTGCTGCCCGAAGAGGTATAGCTCGACCTGCCGGTCGGAGGTCACATCCGTGCTGATTGTGACTGGTGGTGGTGGTGGAAACGCATCCATGAACTCCATAACGTCCAGCGCAAAGCTCAGATGGATGTAAGCCGTCACTGGGGCAAAACGTGTTCAGAAACACGCCGTTTGTCGTTACGAAATTGGTGTAAGCAAGTGCTTGCAGGCTTGCCTCGCTGTGCAACGCAGGTTCCACGAACAGTTTGTGTTTGCATTATTTCGGGATGCATTCAATACCCTTCATGGGATTCCCTGACCCACCCGACCTCTCACTGCCAGGGTGCCTAGCGGGAACTGGGCGGGATATGCTAACTATCAGGTACGTAGGCGGGCCATTAGCAAACCGACCATCGGCAGGCCGGTGTTTCGTGCAGCATCATGGGTTAAATCGATTGCAAGCATCACGGAAGTCGGTGGGTAGCAGTCCAGTCTTCCCTCGCCTTCTTCATACATGTACCTAACCAAGTGCATAAAGAGCTCCACTTGGTCCGCTTTTTTTAAAAGATCAATCGTAAGCCCGGGGGAGTGCATTAATTCGAACCTGAGATAAACGTTCCCCAACCGCTCACCGATTTGGCGCCACCTAGTCACGCGTCGATTGTGATGAGGCACAAGGGAACCGCACTTGAAAACCGCACTTGCGATCACTGCAAGATCTCCCTAATTTCACTTCTGCCACTTGTCAACGCTACTGCAATGTTTATGTGTTGTCACACTAGGCCAGCAAAGCCAATGAGAGTGCCATTTTACCATAGCACTGAACGTCGCTCAAAACTGCATTTCTTGGGTCCTCTCATTGCAATCATTGCGAATTATTCGTCACTCGATTCGTGTGGTTTCTCTGACACTTCTCAAAGCGAGGAGTTCGGGAAATGCAATGGACCGTTACCATGACTCACCTTTCTCGCTACAAAGAATGATTGAATGCATGACGGCTGCCGGACGCCCGCAGCAGACGGCGCGTGCGCGTTTCGTCGTTTTACTTGGAATGCTTGCCGCCGGCGATTGGGCGACCACCCGGCGCATTTTGGCGACGCAAAAATGTGGAGCTGCTACCGTTTAAGTTAAGTTTATGTATGGACAGAACAGTGCACATAATTACATATAAATGGGCGGAAAATGCAGGCAATGAATCGGTGCACGCGGTGCCATAAATTTTGCCACAGCTCTCACTGTAGTTTCCATGCAGCACACATCGGTCGTGTGAAAATTTCGGCTAAAAATTCCCGAACATTTAATCCGCACGTGACCCCAAAAAATCGGTGGCGTGCAAACACTCACACACACATGCAGACACACAGACACACACACCACACACACACACACACAACACACACACACACACCACACACACCACACACACCCACACACACACACCACACACACACCCACACACACACACACACCACACACACACACACACACACACACACACACACACACACACACACACACCTGCACTTTTAGTAACACAGGGAAGACAAGGGAATACAATGCCCCGGCTCACCTGAGCAGGACGGCGTTCAGTTCCAATGTTATCGCCCTTCTTTGGGTTGCAGTTGCGCCTTCAAGACGGAAGCTCGCAGAGTTGTACTAAAACAGCAGCAGCGGCATGGTCAGTACCGTCTTGCAAACTTTAACACGGCGCATATGTTTTAGCAAAGTATTCACAAGCTATTGCTTTACGCCAGGCATGTTTGGAATTTAGCAGGAATCCTCGATATGAATAGGTAGGTTGTATGGAATAACATGAGGAGTCAAAAGTATGCCATCAATGCATTGCCAATGAACTCATGTCAGTGATAAATATTCAGAGGAAGGGAGGGCGCATTGCGTATATCGCATTACCAATGACTTCACCAGTGGTAAGGCCATTTCAAGTCCAGTTCTCGTTTCCGAGAGCCTCTGGTAAATAAAATATTTAAGCATATGCCTGTAAAACTACAGACAGTACGTTTGCCTTTATGGGGTTCAATACATTTGTACAACAGAACTGACTTGAAGCATCTTTTTATTCAAGCCACGAATATCTACAATCGAAAATATTCACCAAACAGAACCGGGTCTAATGTTTGCAAAAGAAACCAGTGGAGAAACCAGAAACAACGGCTCAGTGTCTGCAAAGAACAGTCGGAATCTAAGACCCAGGATATGGAGGTGACGACAGAGCCAGTCGGAAGCAAGATCGAGAGTCTGGTTTTTGCGCCTGAGCTGAGCCAGAGCCATGCCCACTGCCGGGCTCGCCGTCGCGCCCGCACTGCCTGCCACCGCACTCACTATGTTCGCGTTCAAACTCGACGCTGCGGTTCAGCTGTTCGGTGACCTGAGAGACGCTCACACTGTCGCCCCATAGCAGGCGAGGACCATACAGCGCATAGCGCGTCCGAGGCGTACCGCGCACGTCGTACCCGAACACGTCGACCTGAGGACGAGGCGCGCGCCACACGCCGTCAGAAGTATCGCAAGCAGCGGCAGCTCGAAAAAGCACGTGCAGTCGCGCCACGGATCGGAAATTCGACGCATCGGCCTCGACGTGTTGCTGGGTCCCAGACTCTCAGCCTCATCCCGTCCGGAGGATGGCAGCACAGCATATTTCACCATACGGCCTGTATTTCTCACGCTTGGCTCCTCATACAATGCTAGAGTTACATCAGCAGGACGAACTGAGGCCATGGATGGTGTAGTTGCTCTGGCTTGTTGCATGGTCTGGTGCGTTGGTACCAGACCAGGACGATAAGTCCCCAACGGTTAGTCCAACCGTGATAATAAGACCTCGTGTCAATCGTCTTGGCACAACGATTGCTGTGTTCTCGTTACCAGAGTCGGTGCCTTCATTCGCTTAGAACGGGTCCTTGGCATTGCTGTTACACGAGTAGCCCGAGAACGTTTGAATTGGACAGTTCACTTGAAAGGTTGGCGTGCGGAGATGCACACACACACACACACACCCACACACACCACACACACACACACACACACACACACACAACACCACACACACACACACACACACACACACACACACCACACACACACACACACACACACACACACACACACACACACACACACACACACAACACACACACACCATCACAACACACCACACACACCACACACACCACACACACACACACCACACACACACCACACACACACACACACACACACACACACACAACACACCACACACACACATACACACACATCACATATACACACATATGAAGTAACAGTCGGGGAATTGTTACAGAAATAACTGAGCGTCTCCGACAATACAGACGTCACTTCGCGACGCTCATAATGAACATATTTCATAGACTTGTGTTGCTGGTGTGACTCTTTTCCATATTCAGGGGATTTTGAGCCAGTAGCAAGACCGGCAGCAAGATGACCATTAGTGAATGAAAACCAAATTGAAGTGAATTCATGATTCTATGAAAGCATCTGTATCACCAGAGGCATCTAAAACCTAACAATGTCATTCGCCAAAAGAAAAGACGGGCCAATGACCTCAGAAGATCCTTTCACAACATTTGGGCCGGATTCGAGTCCCGGGATGTCTGCAATACAATACAGATGACAGAATATGCAATGCAGATGGCGTGATCCGTTTGGAGAGGCGGCGCGCGTGTCCGGGTGGCGTCACGCTGGGCATCGGCGGGGCACCGTTACATGCGCAGATGGGCTGCAACTGAAGGCTGCAACGGCAATGAATGCACTCATACGTATTGAGCAAGTATCCCTGCTCTTCAGTAATCAGTCTCGTCTTTCTGGTGCATTACACGGTTGTCCTGCCACAGAGAGCAGAGCTACCGCTCTTTTCACCATTGTGGTAGAGTTGCAGTGTGGCTAGACCCATCCCTGTACCGATCCGCCCAACACGACCCGCACCTGGAAGTCAGTAGGAGCGACGGATTTGAATTTGGTAAACTCATTTTTAGCTTCAGCAGGAAGGGCACCCCCGGGTACACGGTGGTGTCCGGCGGATCCTTTGTCAGCTCGAAATATATCTTGGCGTAAATCTCTTCTGGGTCGGGCGCCGGCTGCAACAGAGAAGACCATTGTGCTGAAGTTAAGTAGTAGCAAAACATTCTTTCTCACATGGCCCAATGACTAACGCAGGCAGGGCGAAAGCTCATTACTCTGCTCCCGACTTTACTTTCGGACTCATTAATTATCACTGGATGGGAAGAGCTCATACTTTTGACAGAGAATTAGTTATCTCTTAGCAAGGCGAGAGAAATCCAGCGCACAGCATGCCTGCCATACTCGATCATCACAGCACAGATCGCTCTAAAACCATGGCCATGCGAATAGAACCGTACACTGCTCCAAGGTTGTCACGGTTTCAGAAAATATACTGGTCTGTATTGGGAGACTGCTTCATGGTATACATACATGAATATATGTATATATGCATACATGTATATTGTTATGTGCATACCTATATATATATGTATATATATATATGTGTATATATATATATACATATATATATATATATCTATATATATTATATATATATGTATATATATATATACACTGCTGTTGCTTCTGAACTTGTATATTAATGGAAGAAACGCTCACATTCTAAACGCCTAACAAGCACCATAATGGTATGAACAAACACCATCGTATTAGTATTTCGGTATTTCGAGATTACTCGTCTGCATGATGTCTGTCTGTGTGCATTGGCCATATCCGCCTATGTCCTGGAGGGTAAAAGGGAAAATCATAAGCTAACAGACCGATGTTAAACGGAATGTTCCACAGTTGTACAGAGCTTTTAACTGAAACTGTCATGTTGAAGACCATTCGGTGCAGTTCACACCCCGTTCTTCTGAAAGCCTGAAACGTTCTAGTTTCTGGGCTAGACGGCTGCAAAGATGTGCAGACTATTCGGGAGACTATTTCAAGTTCACCCAAACATCCATTACGCTAAATTAGCGTAATTCAAGTCATGCCACTCCATTGGCAATGCAGCGATCAAGGCCAATGAAAATATCATAGTCGACTATTGTGTTAGTAGCATATATTAATTATAAATGCAAATAATGTATCATTGTCGACTGCTTGTATTAGTGAACCATCCGAATGAGTCGACATACGAAGTTGAAGGAAGGCCCTCTCTACCAACATTCTGGCAACATTAACCGTTTGGATAAGTTCTTTCGGTCCAAAGATCTCATTTATAACTAGATTCATGCAGGCCAGGTGGTAAGGAGAATGTGAACGGAGTCTGAGACAGGCTAACCTCGATGGGGCCCTTGTGGCCCTTTGTTGGAAAGGTATATTTATGCCCTTTATGTCCCTATGCATCGAGCAGCATATTTGCTAAGCAGAGGAACTATGTTGTCTTGGGCAGCCTCTTCCACCCAAAGGTATGCCAATAGTTATAAGTTAGCTTATTTCATCATATCTGATGCTTACTTCAATATCTTCAACTGCGGAACATTCCCATTAAGGCCAAGGAGTTGTGTGACATATCTATCTTCCTCTGTCATCACCTATGCAAAACAGCCGAACCTTTGCCAGAGTATCGTGGTTGTTCAAATTCGGCTTTGCTATTAGCACGGCATCTCCGTGAAGAGGAGCAGCAAATGAAACAAGTCGGCGCTGGATCCCGGGGTCGGGGAAGCCCGGAGCTTCCGCCCTCCGTCGAGTAATTGTGCACCACTCACCTCCGTCTCCGTCTCGTGGGAAGACAGCGCTCCGCCTGAAAAGGGGAATGTGTGCTGTAACTCCTACACTCGACTGATAATGCTTGCATAGGTGTCATGTCAAGGATGATTCCCACTGATATCCGCTCCGTGTTTGTGACACACACGCTGACGTCATCACATTGAAAGCATCCAGCCATCGAGCGCTTAGTGGCAGACCCGCCAAATGCATGTGTGTTGTGGAAGTATGCAACGAAAGTTTGAAAAGCTCTGTTTTGAGACCAGTTGGCACATGTGTGCAAACGTTCCGGATCGCTCGTCGCAACGCTCCGACATGAACGCCGCCGGCCAGTGATCTCTGTTCTGTGGGGTGAACTATCAACACGACAGTAAGCTATTCATGTCCTGACATGTCATGCCGTGATTTGTGAGGACCCGCAAGACGGCACTGTATCCACCAAGCTCTGCTAGATGTACTGGTGACAGCTTTTGGGATGATTTTGTGAATGTTCTTTATTTCAGCACCCCAAGGCATAAACTGATGCCTTTGGACTTTCAGCGTGCTTGTTTAGAAGCAATGAGAGATATGCCGAAGTGGTATGTTCTAGAAAACCGAGAGTAGTTCAATAATGAACGATTTAATCTTTGAGTCTGCTGGAGACGTTTGAGCTCCTTTCAGGTTGCAAGTGATCATCGGGTTTTCGGATGACAGGTCACCAGTGGTTGAGTGATTCACAAATCAATCTTAGCTTTCTCTGCGCTCAACTGTTTCATCTCACCTACCATTCGCGCAAGGTGTCTCTGTTTTTCGTCTTTTTCGGTGAGCCCGTCTGCAGGTCAAACGAATAGATACTGGGCTGAAAGTTGCACGCGATGCACGTGCCCACAATACAGCATTCTACGTTTGACTCGTGAGCCGGTGTTGTCCAACGTTTCGGCGTGGCACGTGCCGAAAAAGCCGTTTTTAGGCCCGTTAGATTTGCATTGTGAACGTCTGGAAATGTGACTTGCGGGAAACGGGAGCGCAGCCGATCGGCATCGTGGCCACATCGCGACAACAACGGTCGGAGCGACTCAAAATTGGCACCGTTCGAAAGATAGCTGAGCGAGGTATCGTGTTGCGTCACACGTGTGATAGCACAAGTCAGGTGTTACGTACACGAAAACCATCAAGACAGATTTGAACGTTTGCGACAGTTTTTTACATTTTATGGTACAACTCGATGGGTATGATGGGCATGATGGGTATGGTTCAACTAGCTCTGTCCCACTGCATAACTTTTTAAGTAGAGCGTCGGAAATCGGACGTGCTGTGTGTGAGCCGGCGTCCAGAGGTAGTCTATTCAGCTTTTTTCATTCATTAGTGTAGGCAAAACAGGTGTCACATAGTGAGAACAAAAATGCATTTCTCTGCGAGAAAAACTGCGCACATCGACTTCTTAATGGGTGGCGAAATGTTTATAAATATTTCATACAATCCAATTCGGAGTTGCAACAGAATGCGACAGAAACGTCGTAAAAACGATGATGGCAGGAAGGAGGAAGTCAATGCGACCCCTTCCCTGCCGTTTCCAAGCTAAGAAAGGCAGGGCCTTGTGGAAAAGCAACACTGAATATGTCCAAAAAATCTTACAATTATCAATAAGCAACATGCTGCCAAGTCCATATCGACCCTTCACAGAAAGACCAGGGCTTAAATGCTCTTCAAAATAACAATTTTTGAACATAACCTTATTTTTTAACTTAAAACACCCTTATGTATGAAATCATGCCCCATAGAGAGACGATAGCAAAGCATGCATAATTAATGCCCCGAAAGATGCCGAAAGTTGCGTGCAATTGTACGACATGCCGGAGAGGCATACTGAAAACCTTAGTGGGGCCGTGTGCCAAACCGATCGTTGTCTGGAAGCGCTGGGTGTTGCGCGCGGTCTGCCGGCCTCGGACCTCAAGCGTATCCACGAGACCCTTGTGAACTCAAAATCAGGTCAGCAGCTGCTGCAGACGCGCCTCCCGGTCAGATCCCTACCGATTCTCCTAAAATGCAGGGGCTGATGCAACCATGATATGGCAAATTAACAGCCTGGCTCCGCACCGGAGACTGGTTGGTACCAGTTGAAGTCATGGGAACGAAACTACTGACTTCCTGACTAGCAAAGGGGTAGCTATTTGTTATTTATTATACCTGGCCCCTTATTTATTTACCAAGTTAGTTGTCACGTATGCTTTTTGGTGCGTGAAGCGAATCTTAGCCGAACAAAATTGCGAAAAACACACCTCTGGAGAGCATTGGAAAGACACTGTGACACTATGATCTGTAAAGTCAACAAATATGTAGTATAGTGTGGTGCTTTCTGTCACCTGTTAAAAGCTATCCTGACTAAAGATATTATGTTTCAAAGTGATGTGTGGCTCAGTTTCGCCAGGGCAAGAGCAAGAGTATGAGCAAATTCTTGCTCATACACAAAACGTCAATGATTCGGCAGACGCTCTGCACTAGCTCACGCTGTAAGCATTAGCGGACACAGACAAACACTAAGCTTTGAGTTTGGTCCGACTAGGATGGTCTGTTGTAATTTGTTCCAGTTTTGCAATAACTTTTCACCGATAAGCCCGCGAAAGTGTTCACTTTTGTCACCGATCATAGCCGGTGAATCATAATATTGTCACCGCCTGTCCAGCGTCACGTACAGGCGGATCAGCGGGTGGCTGAACGCTGGAATTTGAACACGACGCGAGCGTGCAGGAGGCGGCTTTCAACGGGTAAACCGCGAGCCGCTACAGTCCAGGGTTCGGACACGCGACAAAAGGGTTGTTTTGGGCCCATCAGTTTTGCACGGGCGGCCCAAAAATGTGACCGACGACAAAGCCGACGAGGAGCCGTTCGAAGCCGCGGCCACATATCGGCAACCAGAGGCCGGAGCAACAAGGACTTGACACGCTTGGGTGTCAAGTTCTTGTTTCGAACAATTGAACGGGGAATCATGTGGTGCCAGATGCCGAGAAGCACGTGCCACTTGTCACGTACACAGAGGCGTCAAGGATAGATGTGCAGTTTTGTAAGTTTTCACGTTTTATATCACAGCCCATCAGCCAGAGCGGGAAGAGAGACGCGAATCCAATTCAGAGCGTTGACGAACGTACCGTCTGCAATTTTATGTGACCAACACGAGTTTGGGACGTAGTACGAAGGCACTGAAAATCCGCGAGAAACCCGGAGATGTCGGCATTTTGAAGAAAAAAAAACACCACCCTCCTATGTCTTTGGTGGTCAGCACACCACAACCGTTTCCTCCCAGGCATCCGGCAGCCTGAGATCGGGTCAACCAGGGAACATCATGAATGGAAATGCATCCCCAAATCATGCAAACACAACTCGTCCCATGGAAGCTCCGTCGCCTTAGCAAAACAAGCCTGCTAGCACTAGTGTAATCCAATGCCCTAATTTCTTGCCACGTGAAGCGTTCGATTACAACATTCTGAAAGGTCGGGGAGTTGAAAATGGGGAGATCAGCGACGTGTTCGTGGCATGTGTTAACGTGATCGCCTTGCCTACCGGTTCTGAACGGTAAGTTGTTACATGGCAGGCGTCTTTAGAATTCAAGGTAAGGTGCGTAGAAACAGGTCAAAAGTTTATCAAGTTACACCACGGGACCACCAAACCGCACTTTTCTTTGTTTGATTAATGGCATGTGTCATCAGTGACTTCACGGTTATTCAGAGCAAAGCACCTGCTAACCGAACGCTAAAAATAAACTCAAAATGATGCCAGTAGTACCTTCAGGGTGAAGCACTTTCCAGCAGGACAGCGCGGATGGTAAACATCACAAACACTTTCCAGCAGGACAGCGCAGAGGCAAACATCACGAGTTTTATAGATAGATATTATAAGCGTAAGATTATTCGACGGTAAACTGCAACCGCCGTGCGGAGAGAGGGAGCTAAATTATTATTTCCGTTTTCCGGAGACACTGTCCGAACCACTCCAGTCATGCCCGCCAAACTTCCATCTTTCACAATCAATCACTTTGACGCGCACTGCAAGGTAAGCAATTTGTGTTTGTGTCCACATTGAATTATGACGTAACAAGTAAATATCTGCAAGGTCGTTTTTACCCGACATGTTATCATCCGCAATTTTCCTTTCCTGCTGTGGATTATGTCAGTGTAAGTCATCGACTGCATATTTTGGTCACCAGCCAATGCCAATCAGGCTGTACGATGTCACATAAACATACCAACACAAATCAGGTCAGGCCAGCTAATAATTCGTCATGCCTAAGTTATTTATAACGCCCATTTGTGAGAAACACCTCAGTTTTACCCAAAAAATTCGAAACCAATGGCTTCTACAATTTAAAAAACAACACGTTAAGAGTCTGAAGCGCTAGTGTGAATTTTTTTTTGTTTTTATGAATATAAAGCCATTGGACCACTATTGTTGGTGCTGAAAATGATTGAACCTGGTCCTCAATTTTGGCGTTCATGTATTTTTGCAGTATTCTGCAGTTAAACTTTTACGCATTGTTTAATGTGTGTTGAGCGATGATTGCCGTCCGGTGACTTCACAAATTTAACTTAAGGATTTCTGGCTGCGTAATGCTCGCATATTTGCCATCGTGAGATTCGATACTGAGATGTCATAACGAACTAGACCAGCTCCCAAGTCAGTTGCTGATGGTGAAGTACCCCGAACAAGTTCGTAGTAATACCAAACTGGTTCACCTCAAACCATGAAAATTAAATTGCAGACTTCGCTCCGAAAGTTTTTAGTTGAGTTTGAGTCATGTTTTATGTTCCGAGCAGGCACTTGGTGGCGTAGAAATGTCAGTTAAGCAAGGATTACTTCTAGCTTTAATCTCATCTTTAGCAACCGGCTCAAACGCATAACTTAGCGGCACCTTTGTTGCAGTTCGGCTTACATAACGTATTCAAACGTTTGTCGCACTTCGGTTTAGTGTGACATCAAACCATTTGTTGCACTTAAGCTTAAGTGAGGTACACATACATTCCTCGCAATTCGGCTTACTTGAGATGTTCAAACTTTTGCCGCACTTCGGCCTACTTGAGATGTTCAAACCGTTATTGCGCTTTGGGTTGCGTGAGGTGTCCAAAACTTTGTTGCACTTCGGCAAACGTGGGATATCTAAACCTTTGTTTCAATTCGGCCTACGTGAGATATTCAAACCTTTGTTGCCGCTGGCTTACGTGAGATACACAAATGCTTTAGCTGAAAGGCCCGACCACGTCTCTGAGTCATCAAATCTAATCTGAGGGGTCTAAACTAAATGACAAAATGCGACCATTGCTCCCAACACCGGCAGATTTCGAACATGTTACATTGTCGCCGTGCGATGCATTTCTATCCTTTTACACTGTCCCAGTGTGCGGCATGCCACCAACGATCATGTCCTTTGAGCTTACCGAAGCAGCAGAAGAGACAGACGACGACGGCCAGCAGGCCAACGGGCCTGGTGAGCGGTGACATGGCGGCGCCCTCTGTGTGACTCGCCTGTGCCCAGTCGGAGCTGACAGTGTCGGCGACGTGTCCACACTGTCCATGTTGTCCGGGCGCCGCTGGCAACGGCATGTGATGACTTATTCAGGTACAGCGATCAGTGACGGCTCCCACGGCGACCTGTCCGCCACCTGACGATTCCCACGGTCGAAGGCGGCTTTTTAGAGCCACGGCGCTGAGTACATGAGGAGGAGAGCTGGTTTGCTTGCGACTCGTGTTGGTAGGTGCGTGATCTGTGATTTAGGCCGCTAAACTCAGGGTGATATTGGTCATTTATTCGGCACGAAGTCCCTTACTTGCTCAGAGAACGGTATAACACCATGTGCCGAAGACTTAGGAGTCAATTAGGATAGCCTCAATGCAAAATCTGTTTGCAATCCCATTTCCTGGAGAGTCATTCTTTCGCAGAAAGGCATTCTTCAAAGCTCGAAATGTTGTGAGAATTTTTGCATCTGGTACATTTCAAGCTTGCTTCGCCAGCCACCGCCGGACCAGAGGCTCAGAGCCCCATTGAGGACTAATAGGTACGACCTTTGACCGTCCAATCCACCATGCTGCAATGCTTTGTGACTGAATCTGCAACCCTCTTAAAGTCGATGCATTTCAAATTTGAAGATCTTGCAAGACATATCTCAAGTGTTGACGTCTTGTAAAAGTCCTGTTGGTTGCATTTTGGCCGTTCAGACATCAGACAACGTACACCTGTGGCACAAAACGCATTCCTAAGATTTCTGGCATGTAACCGTTTTCTCGTATGTTTGATTAGAAGGAGTTTCCATACAATGCAGACGAATTGGGTCATCGAACGTGATACGAGGTCAAATGCGGCGAACGAAGGAATCTTGCGGGAATGTTCTTTTCCTTTTTGCGATTAAGATTGACATGTCTCTGATCACATTATGTGATATTCTATCTACTGAGGCAAGTGATACCCAACGTCATGTGTTTTTTTTTGTCATATTCTGGGTTAGTTTTTGAGATAACAAAGGTTTGTCGAAGAAAAAAGGCTTGAAATGTATAAAATAAGTTTACTTGTCTTGGTCCACACTCACTGACAGAACAGCAGTGGTATGCGAAAGCGTGTCAGGGGCTGAACCATATTCACCGTCATCATTTCATCGATAACAAATAACTTTCCTTACAGTCATGTTGCACACAGTTCAAAATATGTAAATTAGGAATTTATTTGCTACCGTTAAAGTTACGGTGACCTGTCCTAAATAATGCAGAAGTAGGCTTCAAGACATATCGGTTTGATGTACTAATGCCTAATTTTCTTCCAGGTTTGGAAAGACGGACGGAATTTAGGACGGCCCACGTTGACGATGAGGGTCAATGGCAACTTTACCCAGGATTCCATGAACCATCAAATACTGCACCAGCTGGGGGCCCAGGACGCCGTCGCAGCAGCTCTCGTGACCAAAAGGAAGGATGGACACTGGGCGATAGTTACCACGGTTGGTTTGTGACAATAGGGGGGATTGACACTGGGCGATAGTTACCACAGTTGGTTTCACGCCCAAATCGCACGACGAGGACCACGGTTGGGATTTTTATTCACATCGGGAAACATCGGATGCGATGAAGGCGTACACTTTGAACAAGTGGGGATAATTTCATCGCGGCATGCTGATAGTGATTCCTCGTGCGCATGTACACGAGCCTGTCCTTGCTCCACGCCAACTATGCCCGCGAGCCTGGTCATGCTCCAAGTCACCATGTCCACGAGGATGTTCTTGATCCACGCCACTCACGTCCTCAAGTCCGTCCTTGCTCCACGCCACCTATGTCCACGAGCCCTCAACGACGACATATTGCGGCATGGGGCCCCACCAGACGACCAGGGCCATCGCTCAAGGCTCGAGCACCCCTATAAATGGTTGTCCGCGGGGTGCAGGATGAGGCCCTTAATGAAAAAGAAGGTTGAATAACTCAATTCTCCTTTGCTGTTTACATCATTCCGTTCGGTAACATGAGCTTGGCGGGTCCCGGTACATGGGTCGGAGTCATGCTAAGCACGCGTCACGTGACGCAGTCTCACCGAAAAGTGCAGTTAGCTTTCCAGTTTAGCCAAAATTATGGGCTCTGCATGAGCTACACTTTAGTAGCAGCGTATGTTCGTCAAGGGCGGACGACCCAAATTGAACATCAAGCTACCCATTTGTTAGCCCCTTCGTCCAACCCGTGCACGGCGGTCCCGTCCACCAAGGGGCGTGTCAACCGCAGCCGACAGCGCAGCCGGTACGAAGCTCTTGGTGGACAGGGCGGTCCCTGCCGCTGGGTGCAGACGCTCGCGCCGCGGCGCTGCCTCGGCAATGACCGGTGTGAAGGTCACTCCAGGCGAAGGCCTTCACGTGGCGCCGTCAGTAGAGCGGACGATGGCGTTGTGTAGCAGACCGGCCACCCACTGTCTGCGGCAGGTGCAGCCGTCCAGGGATGTCGGCCGTGTAGTGGTTAAGCTGCATGTCTGGCAAACGGAGGTACGTTGTTCGTCCTGCCAGGGGTGAGAGGCAGGCTGGCGCCACATAGCCTCAGTAACTGAGTGCGTTGTAAATGCCCCAAAGATACGCTTGAATTTTGCAGACTGCAGATATTCAGGGCGTGACTCATCGAGACATCCGCGATCAGTGTTCAAACTTCGACCCAAGCAGAACCGCTACAAGGCGGCTCTCATGGCCGAAGTCGGTTTTTTAAAGGCCTGGCGCTGGTTGCATTCCAAGTAGCAAGCATTCCAAGCTGGTTCCAAGAAGGCCGGGTGCGTTTTCATCTCCTCTACATTTTACTGCTCCACTCCCTTCCAGCCGACTTAGATGTCCCCGGTGTCTCCTTCAAATCTTGTTTTCCAAAGGCACGTGACAACGTGCGTCGCGTCCCTTTTATGAAACGCCAGGCGACTGCGTTGGCCATATTGGCGCGCAGGGGCCATGACTCAACCGGGATTTGAATTTGCTTAGAAACTCAAGATATGAGTTCAGCACACCTGACACTATTGAATCCTTCACACAGCTTCGCTCCACGCCTACTCTTTGACTGTATTTTAGACTTCATAAGTCCTCGTTTACCTTCAGTGATATCGTTCATTTCTCTTAAACTTGCTTGGCTGCAACATTTGCCTCCGCTTGCTGGCGCCACTTTTTTCCCACCCCCCACCTCACCGTCGCCTCCCATTTCTCACGCGCGCGCGGTTTCAAGGCGGCGTCCGAACTCAATACCATTGCGCGGCGCACACCACCTCCAGAGGAAAAGTACGGACGGCCTGAATGACCTCCAGCCACTTTAACGGCCCACGTGGCTGCAGACGTGATGAGATGCGCCGCCGTCGATGACATCCTTAGTGAAAATGCAATTACTTCGGTCGCACGTGACGACTTCTGTCTGCCGTCACACGATCGACAGAATTTCACTGTGAAGATCGATAGGATCGAGCGCTTATGCATCACGTATCCGGCCTTAGATCCAATTCAAAATGCGCTCCTCCGACATTCCAGTATATTGGCACACGGATAGTACTTCAACATCTTGACTGGCTGAAAGGTTCAGCCCTAAACACAGCCTCGTGCTACACCTTGAAACTATTGTGAATCACACACATCCAGCCGTGACGTCAGGGTATCCCATTTTACATGCCACTGGCCACTGCCAACTGGGTGTACTCGTGCGCGTCCAGAGTTCATTCAACGCGCGGAGCGACATGCGACATGCAATCAGTACTTTGTGGTATTCACCCCAACGAACAATGCAGAGGGCATCACAGCGCGCGGCCAACAACAGTAACGAAGCGCGTGTTGGCTTGATGTACAGGCGATTTTCACGTGGCGTGTCGGCCTGTCAAACGGCAGACAGTCTCGCTGATAAATGGTGCCTATTTTGGAGCTGGCCGGCTTGCTGCAATATTGTGAGCCCAGCTAATAAAAGCCCGGCGATCTCTCCTCTAGCCGGAGCGTTTCGCAACAGCGCGATCGATGAACAGAGTGCAGTGGAATTCGTTACATATGTGGACCCGGGCAGCCCTGTCCCAACCGCCAAGTGAGCAAGTGCCGTCAGCGAAGATTAGATATACCCATTCACAAGTTTCGGCAACTGCCGGAATACTCGCGTGTCGGTGACATCAAGTGTTACATCGCAGGATTGGGCGGAATTCGGCCTAGTCCATGTCGCCACGGAAGTCTCGCCTGATGCATTCACAACAACCTGCGACCCAACTCGCTAGGCAAGGGCAGCTCAGTCTGGCGGAAAACGTATTTGCGTTCTTTTCATTGGCTTGGAGGCTGAGAACGGAGTAGGATGCACGAATATCCCATCGCAAGTCGACTAGAATGTTGAACCATCCACTTCTGCACAACACATCCATTAAACGATGAGCAGTTTTACACACACCCTGGCCTGCCTTAGCTTGTCTTTTCGCGGGGACTCCTGATATGATGAGCGCCTTTTCACACGGCTAACAAACAGCATTTCCCGAAATTCTGCCCACGATTAGGCCCGTAGACAAAATGACCACGACTTGCTCGCATTATTAGCTTGATGGTAGGGATATCGTTGCGGGAGAATTGACGTTATCAAAGGAAGTGACACAAGTAAGTAATACAACCGTCATATGGGTCCGTCAGAGCGCCTGACGGCCGATTTTCCTCGAAACACAGAAGAAATCAGACAGCCTGAACTGAACAGAAGCTGCGAAATGAAGTATTGGCGAAGTGGCCATCATGCCATGGACCAGTTGACCATGCATGACCATCATGCCATTGACCAGCTGACCATACATGACCATTACAATTATGTCGGCGATAATGTAACTTGGTGCTCACTCAGATAAAAGCAAAGCCACACGGCAGCGGGCAAACAGCAGTTCGGGCGTCAGGAACATAGCAACACGGGAGCAAAAATATGGCGTATGCGAACACGCCAAGAATGAATATAAAGCACATAGACCGTCTTCCTATGCCATTGATTCGACGGTTTCGCACACGGCGACAGAACAAACCGACAGTCAACTGTAACATCGAATAGATGTGCCGCATTTTGTAACAGCATGGCGCCACCCTTTTGGTCGGCGGACAGCAGGGCAGCCCGTGTCAAGTTCAGCACGGTTCACCTCCGGCTCGGTAACGAGCGCGGCCCGGGCGGCTCGGCAGCGCCCTACCCGGCTGAAGTAAGCTCCTCGGAGATCACCGTCTCCGGTGGCAGCGACGACACGCCAGAGGTGGACGGCTGCTCGCTGGCCGCGTCGGCCAGCGCTCGCCGCTCGCAGAAGCACACCGATATATTGATAGGGTGCAGAAGGGAGAGCGGCTCGGCGGAGAGCAGCTCAGCCTGCGGCCCCAGCGCCGCCAGCTCCACCGTCATCGGCAGGTACAGCGAGCCCTTGCTGTGCAGTGCGAACACGGGCACCAGCTGCGAGGGCTGTGAGCGGCGGCGCGTCCGCTCGGCGCCGCTGCCCAGCAACGTCGGCTTCCACTTGTCTGCTTCGACGGCGGCCGCGGCACGCTCTGGCGGCAGCGCTTCGAGCCAAAGCCGTCGGCCATGTCGGCCGAAAAGCGCTTCTTCATGTTGGTCTTGAACTTGTACATGAAGCCGCCGCACTCCTCCGAACTGCGGCTGCTGCTGCTGCTAGGCGGGTGAGCCCGCTTCACCTCGCCTGCCACCTGGCGGCAGGTAAACACAAGCTTGTGCACGACATTCGACCTCGCGGAGGCGGACGGCGCGACGCGTTTAAGCCCAGCCAAAACAGCTATGCATGCGCTACCTACAACAGTGCGATGCTCCTGGCTTAGTGTCGCGTACGATGTGCATGATTTGCACGAACTTGGTTCGAACCTTGACTCGTTTCATTATTGCATAGCTCGATTGCACCAAGGGATGCGGCTTAAGATACACTGATGATGTTGTTGCCATTGGCGTTTTAAGGTGCACTCAGCAGCTAATTCTGTCAGGCGTTACTTGCGTCTTACCATGCTAGGAAGGGCGGACACTGCAGGTTACCGAACCCAAACCCGACCGTCAGCAGAACAAAACCGAACCCTCTCGCTTCCTAGACGCGCATGTGAACCCATAATCTTGCATGCACGGAATGGCATTGGCACGCTGATTCTGGTATGCGAGCGTAAGACAATACACTTTGCTGAAATTACCGAGCGCAATGTGCATGCATCGAAGTCGACTTCCGTTTAATTGCCGTGGCATCAGTTTATTGCTTTTGAGACAAAGCCAAAACTTCTATCAAGATCAAAATTGCATGGCATCATCATTTTGCGACAAGTATTTCCTGCGTTTCAGACTGGATCATCATAACGGGTTGATGCCGGATATCAACCCGTCACGGATTAGGAGCAAGACGCCAGTCTCATGGTCAAGCAAAATCGGGACAACCAGCCACGTAAGAAAGGACGGAGTAACAGCAGAGTAAATGACATTGACAGTTCTACAGCGCAGCATCGAGAAATAGTACAGAATCAACCAAGATTTGTTACGACTTTGGTAGCTTAGAAGTTATAAAATCGCTGTTGATTGATGTTTCGGCCGCATGCCTTCCCCAAAACCTTCATCGTTCCACGACCTGACGAGAATTGATGTGAAACTTGCCTTCAGACCTGTGCCATTAAAAACAACAGTGAGCCAATTTCATCGCCATTCATTTTGGAGCGTTAGACAACGATCACCAGCGAGGATTTTAAATGCTGGCCCTGTGGTACAGAACCTACCGATACATATACACGGATTCACACGATACGAATACAACTACTGGAAATACGCGCACATGCGCCTTTTTCACCACACGCCACGCCTCGTCACTCATCCACGCCTGCATAATCAGTCAGTGCGGAGCTCGACACATTTAAGTCTAGTCATCATCTGATCACCAGAAACATACCGACGACCGTCCGTCGCGATGACTAGTGCCTCGCATATTATTCTAGTCAGAGAGACACATGACTGCCTGGGCTCCGGGCGGCACGTTCGGTCAAAATCAGAGTCGTCTCCGAATGGGCCTTCCTTGTCTGGTTGTTACCATCACACTCTCATTAAATCTCGGGCAAATGGGAGTCATGAACTCTTCGACACAGCTGACGTTGCTTCCATTTTGGTCGCACAGTTCACGCTACATTTTTATGACCCACAGTTTGCGATAAATAGTCCATTTGAAATCCCGATTTGCAAGAGTGACGTTCATGTCTCCCGTCATTGATCATTGATCTTGACGCTTCGATAAGGGATATTTCACCAAAGCCGTTTTGAGCTCGATGTCATTCTTCCATACCACGCCTGAGCACATTTTCAGTTTTCAATGGTATGTTTAGCCTCCCAAACTAATCGTTTGTCCCAGTGAGGTACTGTTAAGAAGCTGCGCAGTAACCTGGGGCGGCTGTGCCGCCAGTGGCCCGTGTCTGCCGGCGTCGCGACGGAGCCGACTTCGACCGGAGCCGCGCTGGAGCTGCACGGCGCGCGTGCGTCATCGGAGAACGAGGGGATGTCGGGCCCGCACGGCCACAACGGCTGCGGTGCTCCCGCTCGGAGAGGGACACCGACTGTCGCCCGTTGCCCGCCGCCCTTAGGCCATCACCGGCTTCTCGGGTGCCGCCGCGCTGTGTCGCGCCTCGGCCCCGGACCCTCTGAGTGCCGGCCCACCTGGCGATCGGTCAGGCCTGCAGTCAGCCGCACCTCCCGCACCAGTTCTGCCAGTCCAACCGGCCCGCCGGGCGATCAGTCAGAGCCTGCAGTCAGCCGCACCTCCCGCGCCAGTTCTGCCAGGCCGGCCGGCCCCGCCGGGCGATCGGTCAGAGCCTGCAGTCAGCCGCACCTCCCGCACCAGTTCTGCCAGGCCAACCGGCCCGCCGGGCGATCAGTCAGAGCCTGCAGTCAGCCGCACCTCCCGCGCCAGTTCTGCCAGGTCAGCCGGCCCGCCGGGCGATCGGTCAGAGCCTGCAGTCAGCCACACACCCCGCGCCAGCTCTGCCAGGCCGGCCGGCCCACCGGGCGATCGGTCAGAGCCTGCAGTCAGCCGCACCTCCCGCGCCAGTTCTGCCAAGCCGGCCGGCCCACCGGGCGATCGGTCAGAGCCTGCAGTCAGCCACACCTCCCGCGCCAGTTCTGCCAGGCCAGCCGGCACACTGACGGTCGGCCACGCCAACGTCCAGTCGTTAGTCCCGAAGATCGACTGCGTTCTTCGGACCGTACGCGACCATGACCTGGGCGCCATGTGCATTACCGAGACGTGGCTCACTGGCCCCGTGATCCCGTCAAGGACGGAATCTTGGTGTTTTCCGGCTACGGGCTGGTGCGCAGGGACCGACCGACCCGGCGCTGCCGGGATCGCCCTGTGGCCGCGGGCCGTGGTGGTGGTGTGGTAATCTTGTGCCGGGAGCACTTGAGCTGCAGCGTTACCAATCTCCGGCGCCGGCGCAGTATACGAGTCGCCGTGGATGTCGATGAGTGGCGGTGGGCAGCTCTCGGCCACCGCCGGCGTTGTCTACAGTCCTCCGCCTCAGCCGACATCAAGCGGCCTTGACGAGATACATGATCAACTAAGAACGGCTGTCACCATTGGCAAACGTGTTTTTTGTTGTCTCGGCGATTTAACATAACGCGCCCCGACAAGCCGTCTGTGCGTCGTTGCATGTCCATTTTAAACGATCTGAGCCTTGTGCAGCTTATTAACACACCAACCCATTCTAAGCCGACCGCGACTCTCCTAGACCACGAATTACCAACATGCCCAAACTAGAGGACACAGCTCTGGTGTCGCTGCCGCTGATTACGGACCATCTCACCACCATCATTCGTGCCCCGTTCAGGCGGCAGCATTTACGTCCTGTTTCTTTTCTTATTCTACTCCTGGCGCGAAGTCTGCTGGGACGAGCTCAGTCTGCATTTACTGCAGGTGGACTGGGACCCGTTGTACCGGGCCGTGGGTGCGGCGGGAAAGCTGGAGGAGTTCATGTGCGTATGGCCAGGTGCCATTGATATGCACCGTACCCTGAAAACAGTGACACCCGGCCGTCCACGCTGCTCCTGGACTGAGACAATCCCATTCTGCTGTGTGTGATGCGGGATTGCTACCACGCTTGCCGGTCATGACGCAGGTCCGCTATACAGACCGACCGCATTGAATATCGGCGTCTGTGAAACCGGGTTAAAGTTTGCTGCACTCAGACCAAGCGTGACTTTCCATGCGCCAGCATGTGAACCGACGGGCCTAAGACCGGGCCTAATTTCTGGCGGACTACCCATAAATCTAGACATAGACCCTCTAGGGGAAGGGGGGAGGAGGTGCGCCGAGGAGGCAATGCCCGCTGGCATAGCCGACGATTTCAATCGTCACTTCATCTCAGCTGGCTCAAAAATCGCGGTTGAGCTAGCGGCGAGCAGTCGGGGCGTCCACCTCTCCCCTCCAAGACCACCGTGCGTAACCATAACAAGGCTAGCTTTACACCCTGTGACCTACCCGAGCTTGCGAAATCTATGCGTGCAGTGTCTTCATCTAGGGCCGGTTGGAGCCGATGGTGTGCCGCTGCTTGCGCTAAGAACTTTTCGCTGTCATGGGGCCTCAAGTGCCTCATCTAGTCAATACTTCCATCGTCATCCGCGTCTTACCCTGTGCGTGGAAGTTAGATTCAGTTCTTCCCATCCAAAAGTCCGGTGTTTGTGACGCTGCAAGCAATTTTAGACCTAAATCATTTTGATCAGTATCGTCAAAAATATGAGAGAAGATTGTCTGTCAGCAGTTGTCCGCATGTCTTGATGCCCACGGCATCTTAACCCCTTCACAGCTTCATATATATGCATATATATACATACATACATATATATATATATATATGCATATATATACATATATATATATATATATATATATATATATATATATATATATATATAATGTCGGACATGTCGTCGCCGTCACCTCCACAAACTTAAGTCGAGTTTTCGACAGCGTTGACCACTGCGTCCTCCCGACCAAGCTGCAAGCCTACAGCATCGATTCGCGATGGTTTACAAATTATTTTGATGGACCACGGCAGGTGGTGATAGGTGGTTCACTATCCATTCCCTTATCCCACGGTGTCCCTCAGGAGTTCCTGGTGGGCCCAGTCCTCTTCAGCATCTTTGCGAACGACCTTCCATCCTGCCTGCCTTACAGGCGTCTGGTTTCCTACGTCGACGATATCCATCTCCTCGACTCCGCCCACCCAGACCACTTGTCCACCCTAAAATCGCGTCAGAAGGAAACCATCCTTGCCCTCCAATCCTGCTTCACTGCCAATGCCCCGAAGATGAACCATACCAAGTCCACTCTTTCCTTGTTCGCACGCCCCAGGTCATCATAAATCATCCTTCCATGTTAACATCTCCCACTTAATGTTAACCCCTCGTCGTGCGTGAAGATGCTGCGAGTGACTATAGATCGCACCCTTTCCTGGGAAGAGCACATAAGCAAATTAGTTAAAAAGTGGAACTCCATCCCGTTTTATCAATATAAAATTTGTCATCATCTCAGACCCGAAGCTCGCAAGCTCCTCTTCCAGGCCCATGTTTTCCCCCCACATCCTGGACTGCCTCTCAGTCTGGGGCGGGGTCGCCGCCTGCTATCTCGGCCGGGTGCCAAAAATCGTGAATGTCGCGGTCAGGATCGTCTTTGGGACGCGGGGTCAAGATCATATTTAATCGGTGGTAGGATCGCTGATGTGGCGCAGAATCAGTAATCTTGTCGCGCGCCACGACCACATTGGCGTCTTCAGGGCCCTAATTGATCTCCGTGTCCCGATGCGCATCACGTGGTCGGCGGTGGCCGGCGCCCCTGAACTGCCGCCTTCCGACTGCCTGTATCGCGCAGGGTGTTCTCATATCGTGCGGCATCGTCCTGGAACCAGCTGCCGCCGGCCGTTGTGGTCTCCCGGAGGCGTGCTGCGCTCAGATCTAAACTTGACCAATGTGAAAAGAGGGTTTTGTTTGACTTTTTGGGCCTTTTTCAAGCTCTCGACGTGTTTTTATCACCACCGTGTCTGAGTTTCTATCGTGTTACTTGTAACCCATTGCCTCGAATAAAGCATTAAATCATGCGTATCGAACGATTCGCAATAAATACATGACGTGACATGTCATCCGATATTTTTTTCGGTTTCAGCTGCCTCTTCCCCCACCTCCACTAGATTTCCGTAGCTCTTCCAACGATCTCCCGAAATGTTGTGGAGAGTAACCATTTCAACATAGCAAAGCCCCTCTTTTGGTCACGCTCTCGAATTTTTTACTATGACTGGATAGTTGTTCAAAACCCTATGTAACATATTTACAATAGTGTCGTGCTTAGTAAAGATGGAGATCTCATATCTACAGTGCAAATTTGGAGGATTACGTATTTGATGTACTTGGTAAAGAGCTCCGTTCCAAACGTTGTACCGTTGTTATATGTAATTGCACATAGGTAGTAAATTGTAAATAATGCAATAGCAAATAAGTCACTGTGCAATTTTTGTGAAATTGTAATTGTTCATCACTTCTCCCATCACCGGTGTGGCCAAATGGTGTGATGCCCCTTTTCATCCCCCAATATGACCCACAATGAAAGCTACGTTTGGGTTCTGTCGGTTGATAAACTCTAAACACTTATCAACCCCTACGCTCTAATCACTTATCAACCTCCGTGTGTTACTAGGGAATCATCGAATTACCCCACTTGGAAAACTGGTTTGGACGGGTGGGCAAGCAGACCCTCCGTTTTAAACCGGTCTAAAAGCATTTTCAAGAAAGGAGGCACACATAGGTTTTTGATTCCCCCTCACTATCTGCCAATATTGGTAATTTGCATACGGAAAAACGCTACCCCGGAAACGTTCAATGAGGCCGCAAAGGGCCTCTTTTGACGGGTCAAAAGTACATGAAAATGTTCGTCTCAATGTTGACGCGACAAATTCTAAAATATTTCTTTCAAATTCAAATGTAAAGTCGGAGCCAGAGTTACCTTTCAAATCTATTCCAGTAAATCCATTTCGCCATGCTGTTTTGACGAGGCTCCTGACCGGAAACTGTTGATACACTGCCATCTCTTTACGTTCTCCATGTACTGAGAGGAACAAAGCTTAGTTAAGTGCCCTTATAACTGACGGCATTGATTTGATTGGTGCCACGTTTTTGTACCAGTGTGATTGTGACTCATTCAGGAGTAGGTGGCGACCACTTTGCAGAAATTTTCAGCTTTACTGAATTACATACACCCGACCTCTGCATCCAGGTGCAGCACTCACGTAGCAGTCCAGAATCTGGCACGTTCAAAGAATGACATCACTCATCCATAGCGCTCTTTAAATGACCCACACACCGATTGCGGTCTGGAGAAGGAACAAGACAAGAGTAAGAATACGACCAAGTGTCGCCATGAAGAGTTCGGGCAGACACTGGTCGCACCCTGGGCTGTGAGCGAGACAACACACGGCTTAAATGGACACGGGAGACGTAAGCATGCAAAAACCCATTACGCCAGACCATGTTGAGAATACGAACAGAGTGTCCGTCACCTGCCGACGAAGTGTTCTGTGATCACTCACGTGCAGAAGTTTGTACAGGTGCGGCTCATCGAAGTCAGCGTCGGCGTCGTCGGCAGGGTACCGTGACATCACGCCGGGACCGGCGCTTGGCTCCGGGTCGCCGCGCTCTAGCGGGAGCCGAACCAGCGCCTGCTGGTTCAGGTCTGAAGAGACGACAAAATCGCGGCCAGTTGACCGGTCCCCCCGACCGCCGACACTGCAGGCCGCCTAGCCTTGGAACATGCGTTCGCGTCCCTCCACCCATCACCACAGCGGGTGTTAGCCGTTATCCTAGTGAAGGTGTGAGTATGCACCTGCCTTTTTTATCACTGCTAGCATGGACGCAGCCCACATCTGTGAGCCGGCCGTGCGCAATTTGCATGATGGTGAACGGTCATATCAAACATCAGCCTTCTCACCGAGCCTCAGTTGCGGGTTTTGTATTAACATTTCCAAAACACTAGGTCGCATGAATTATGTGTTCAGGTGGCTTTGATGTCAGAGCCTTCGCTAAGTGCAGCTTAAAGGGACTGTCCCGCTTCTGGGGCATAATACAAAAATGCCCTAATGAAACCTCAGGACCAGTTGCGCCTTATGATAGAACTGAGAAGTGCTTCTGCAGCCCGTCAGTACATAATGAGAATATCAACGTTAATTACTTTCGAGTCCAGATCGCGCTGCGAACGCTTTGTAAGAGCACTACGCTTCTTCCCCGCATTCGTGACCACTGTTGTCATGCCAACCGCCGCGCGAACCTCCACTGGTGCGAATAAGAATATCTTTGTGTTTGGCCCAGCGGGGGGCAAGAGCCTGTTACCTAGAAGTGCACTGGTTAAGATTCGAACCAGTGCGTCGCCATGGACCATGTGCTACTCCCATTCCCGAAAGCCAAAGTGCACCTCGAAAAGAACCACTCTGGTTAGCATCATAGGGTAGAAATCGAAGCCACCGAATAGCATTTCGTTACATACACGGAATAGCAGCTTAATGCGCACATGTCTTTTTGTCTCAACAGTGTTGCAAGGCCTTGTAGCATCCAATGCACACACATTTCGAAAACAGATTAATGCGTTGCAAACATTACAGAGCACACACGTCGGAAAAAGCAGGTCAAGTGAAATGTATCGTTTTCATAGCGGTGAGCAGGCGGACAAGGGAGATTTCTCACGCAGGGCCGGCTACTGGAAATCGACATTCTGAGCTATTCAGGACGCTTACGAGACAACTGACATTTATGATAAAATCTTACTCATCCGATGTAGCGAAAAGTATCAAAAGGCGGAATACTCCCTTTAATGCATGACAGCTAACATTACCACCGAAGTGGCGATGTCCCATTGCCCGATGTTTAAGTGGGCCGAAATGCGGAATACTTTGTACAGCCTGCCAATTAAGTAATGTTGCCAGGGTTCAACGTGAGATGCAAGCTCGTGATGTGGCCGGCCATAATAAAAAATTCCCGTCCTTTTCACGGAAAAAACGATGCCTTTGACGGGAATCGAACCCACCGGACCATGTCTCTCGAGCCATGTCCGTTGACCAACGGATGAGATAAGACCGTTGTGGTACCGCCATGTCACTGGGACTGCGTAATACAGTGGCCACAGTTATCATCAACCTGTCTGTAGCTGTGTTTTTGAGTGTTGAATCAAGCCGAAGAACACTAATCTTTGGACCAGCAACCCTTCCAGAACATGCCTATCATATCCGGTCCAATTTTTGACGGTGAGACTGAACCGTCTCGAGCTCAATATGCTTCTGAGAGACAATAAGGCAGTAGCCGTGACACTGCCGCTGCCCCTGTGGCCTGGTAGTGTGGGGAAGATCAGCGCAGACGGCGGGCGTGAAGAGCGACCGCAATCTGAGCCCCAGCGCCACAGCGAAAGCGCCCCAATGCGAGGCCGCTGGCGCGGTCAGCGCGCGAAGCCCCGACGCTCGGGTCGATGCCGTGACCGGTGCGCAGCGTCGCAGACTGAGACCCTGACCTGGTGGCGCGTAGCGCATCTCCCGCGGCGCCGACGAGCTGGGCCACTGCGTGCTGCCGCTGTTACCGTCGCTGGACGAGCCGTTGCTGCTGGCGTTCCCGTTGTAGCCGCTCGTGCTGCCACTGAGCGAGCCGACGCGAGAGCCGTGGTGCGGCCGCGGTGGAAAGCCGCCTGCGCGCAGGCGCCGAAGCCATGGTTAGCTCGCCCAACCGATCTCAGACAGCCAAGCTGCGAGTTCCACAAAAGGCGTCCGCAATAGACAATGTGTTATTGTGCCAACTTAGGCACCAGGCCCGTCCAAGGCCGGCTGGTTTTCGATGTGCCCTCGCTGACCTCTGAGCACGAGTGCGATGTGCTCGTGGAGGTGGTTCATGAGACGGGCGCAGAGGGGGTCGCCGGGTATGAAGCCCTCGTGCTCCACCATCCACTGCATCGTCTCGCGCAGACATTCGCGGTAGCCTTCCTCATAGCGGTTGGAGATGGTTGCGCGCCGGCTAGCCGTGTCGGTATCAACGCCATCTGTTGAAAAACAAGGTGACAATGACCAGCGAGCTGTCGAGAGCAGAGCGCGCGCCACCAACGACATGCCCTCCCCCGCTCTTAGGTGTCACACTGAAAACCGGCAGACCGGCACAAATGTTGGCCATGAAACAATCGCCAGACACCTCCAGAAGGATGTCAGGAAAAAGGGACATCGCTGCACTGAGCCCGTTCTGACGTGCACAAATAATGTCTGCCTGCTCAACACCCGAAAGCACGCGATCAGGAATTAAGATCGCTGTACCCAGATCCTCCGTACCCTCGTCCATAACTGCACATAAATATCCAGGTAAGATCGAGTACCGAGTCAGTCACGTCTCTCCCCACCGAGAGATTAGATTTGGTTTTAATTAGAGCCATTCCTACCAGTGAAGGCTATTTCAGGGCAATGGGATGAAAGAGAAAGGATAATGGTGCGGCAAAACTATATGCGCCTAGGGGTCCATCCACCCAGACTTGATCCGTATATACACCCTTACACGGTGTAGGTACTTGGCGCTCGGACAGTACCTCCACCAGGGGCACTTCAGCGCACTCGTGGCTGTACCACCCGTCTTGCCCCAGGCAAATGAGGCGTTACGAGAATGCAGGATAACTAAAGAGTGGAGAAAGAAGGGCGGATACACCAGGAAATACTGAGGAGAGCCAGGAAGCAATGAAGGCGCACAAGGGCCCCAGGACATCACGCATGCCGTTATTGAAAGGTGTTGATAGCTCACTTTCAGCAGCAGTGCAAATATTTGTTTCCGAGATAGCTGTTTCCGGTTAGAAGCGAACGCTAACTCAAACCGAACATGGCGACCGGCGGCCCACCAACGTCATTACTAAAAAACTCAGATACTCGAGGCCAAGCAAGGCTACTATCGTTGGCACCCCTGAAATCCACCGACTAGCCGAGCTTGTCATCAGAGTGTGGGAGACACCCGCGTGATCGTCATGATGGCGGCCATTTGTGAAGATCGTGTGCACTTGATAAGTAGACCATGCCACATATTACGTTCTCGTTTCCGACATCGTCAGTTTTCATGCTGAAATGGCCGACCTTCAACGCACCAAGAGCAAATGGACAACGAGAATACCAGAAGACACAAGAGTCAACATATGGTGCGCGGTTCGGTGTGTGACGAGGCAGAGGTGGTGAAGTTTTGTGACAAAGGGGCGTGGCACACTGTTACTCTTTATGCTGTGTTTAATTACCGTGATAATGCCGAATGGGGCCGAACAATATTTGATGTGAAGCGTAACGTACGTCGTTAGTATTGTGATTCATAGTTATGACGTTATGATTTTCTATCTCGATACGATGATCATGATTGCATACTGTGGGTACTTGCAAAGCCTCCCTGGGTATACAAACGCTGGGTGTTGTAAATGCCCCCAAGTTTCTATGTGACCTTAATCTGCTTATTGGTACCGCGATAGTTTTACGGCTGGGAAGAAAACGTCAAATAATCTTAGGGCATGTGCGGACCAGAAGTAAAATTATAAGAATCACAATCTTGTTGCATCGTGGCCTGGTCTCAGAAGGGTTATATCAGGCAACTTAAACGCTTGAGTGCATACATTGTTCAATGGAAATGCTCAATGTGACAAACAATTCGTTCGTTTCGCTCGGTATGTTGGCATGTTTTTCGAAAACATTGATTTCATTTCTCTTGCGGCTATCGTCCCGGCCTTTCATCCCTCCCCCCCCCCCCCCCCCACACCTCCTCGATGGAACCACCAGCGACGCCAGCAGCCATCTGTATATCACAGGTTATATTTTCCTGTTTGCGTGTTTACAGAGAGCAAATTAGACTAAAACCAGTACCTATTAGTTTTTCCAGTGGGGCAACCACATGGAGACTGAAAAGCGCACAGGACGATGTGTATTGATTGGAGCCTTCCATTCGCACGCTTTCCAGCTGATTCATAGCACGCATCGCTGGAAGACCGCATCACTTCCCTCTTGTGAAATGTCAACGGGACCATGGCCATGGCCATGGCTGCCGGCCGGCCCTGGCGGCGGCCCCGGCGCGCGCGCCACGCTGGCCGCCGTGTCACGTTCGACGTGGCGTGATCCGGCCGGCGCCGGCGGCTGGGAGGCGCGCGCGTCGGCTGTGACGCGTGCCCACCCAGTGCCCGAGTCACGTGGCCGCCATGTGACCGCGCAGCTCCGGCCGTCGGCAGCGGCGTCTGTTCACAGTGCCGACGACGCGGGGCCACGCTAACGAGCGGCGCCACGGCCGCCGAGGAGCGGCCGGGTCGCGTGCGGACGCCGTCCGACGCGTGCGTCGACAGATTTGGCGCGCGCTCGGCGTGGAGCACGTGGACGTCCATGCGGTGAAGCTCCTGCTTTGACGCGCTGTTCGGTCCGCACACCGCGGCCTGGCCGATGCGGCACTGGCGCGTTTTGATCCACGGTGTATTCGCCCGAGACAAGTAACCCATGAGTTCTGTACCGTTTAGGGTTCGCACCGACCCGGGCGACAAAAATTGTACGTGACGATGAGTAGAATCTCTACTGGACGCGCAGAATCTTTTCCACAACTCGACTGGAGTGGGGCAGGAACGGCGCAACAGGTTCAGTTGCAATGAGGTCAATTTACAGATAATAGGTTATAATAGCTTACTTTGCGGCCCAGGACCGACCAGGAATAGTGAAAATGTGTTTTATACGCTGCAATGATCATAAATTGCACTATCCATTTTTAAGCCTGCTCATCGAACCTGCAAACAAAAAACTTTGTCCTTGCATGTGCAGGTACTGTCACGAAAACTCCAACGATGTAAAAACGAACAACGCTGCTAATGCGCATGGGAAAAATTATACGTGGCGTCACGTAAAATAAGATATTCTTGCTGCGCCGTGAATACATCCTCAGTGACTGGCGGAAGGGGGACGTGATCCTGACGTGGGTGTGGCGGAAGTCGGTCGCGACGTCATACAGCACTTCTTGACGGGGAATTGCAATTAAACAAACCTCAAATCACACACTTATAAGAACATGCTCAGTTCCGGCACATAGGTCATCTAAAAAAATTATCGTGTTATAGCTAAAAATTAGGACAGCCAATTTACATTTTCAGTTATGACGTTTAGTATCAATGTAAATAGCCCTAAGAGGCCCATCTGATCGTTATGTCTCCCTTCCCCCTCCCCACCTTCCCCTTCCCCTATTGGACCGGCACTGAATGCACTCAACAATAATGGAGGTTGCACTGACAAAGAAACTCTTAAGCATCAACACTTCCGAAATCCTGTGATAGTCAAGTTGCCAGCATGTTGACCCAGCAATACGAATTACCGCACACTTTTTCACGGAAGTATGTTCTATGTAATAACGAAAGCTATACTAGCTTGGTTGCCGTGTAGCCTTCAGCATTTCTCGGAATTCAACATGGCAGCCGCCGCCATCTTGAATGCTTACCAACTTTCTTATTTTGATCCGGATGACCTAGATGGTCGTGTAATATCTCTTAATAGGGGTTGTCGTGGGTGGCTGAGTCCATTTCTGGACTTTTCTGGGCCACGATGTCTAATTCAACGGCAAATCACAGGTCGAGTATCAAACTCAGAGCAGACCTCTGACCTACAGTGTCACGAAATCTTAAGTGGCATTGAGCGTTTTACTACCAGCCAGCATGCTTTTCATAGTTATCATCATTATGTACACCTAGCCCCCTTCGTTTTCTGCGATGTCCATCTGTTTGCTGGTGCAACGACTATAGCGGGCGATTTCTCCGTAACAATTGCAGTAGTCTGTGCGCCAAAGGCCTGTGCTGTGCCTGTTGCAGCTGCAGCGTGCAGTGCTGTATGCGTTGCTTTCAGTGATGCGGTTGAAGGTCATAACACCCGAGAGCGTTTTGGGAGTAACTGCTGCTGTCAAGACGGCTGGCGTGGTGGGGGCTCCCATGCTCCAACCGAAGCTGGAAATATCTCTACTTTCTCGTCTTCGGGGGGGGGAGGGGGGGGGGGGCACGGAAAGCTTCTTCGCGGGGTTAGGAATGTGGTGGGCCAGTCGAGTCTCTTAACTTTCAGCCAGGCCTTTTGCGGCCCCAGGAACTGGCCAGACGACGCGGTACAGCAGCTGACAGAGACCATCCACCATCTGATCTGCTGGCAACGCGGTCTCGCTATCCGAGTGGCACCAGGCGTACAAGCTGCCAGTAGCTCATCCCTGGCATGCTGGGAAAAGTGCTTCGTCTGTCTCATATGTCAGCTCAAATAACGAGCATAATTGTGGTGAACCGCTACGAAGAAATACGGCAACATTGCCTTGACACATTGCTATCCTAGTTTTTTTTTTCGCTGTGCTCTTTCCAAACTATTTATATAGTTTTTGGAAGCATGGGGACCGAGCCTGTACACACTAACATGGATGTGGTCTGACATAGGCTTAGTAAAACTTTTGACAATCATCCTACTCTTGCAATGGAAATTCCTGTTAATAAGTTCCAGCATCCGAAATGTCTTGCTCCTTGAAGCCACACATTGCTTTTCAGCCTTTAAATCCCTCGAAATCATAACCCTCAAGTCTTTTCCTTCTTGATCTGGCGAACTCCCGGCCTCCCATTTTGTAGCTAATGCCCTCACTGCCAGAACTACCCAAATGCATCACCTCACGTTGATCATAGTTGAATGACACATGCCACAGAGAAACCAAGTTCATTAGCATCTCCAAGTCAGGTTTCAGTCGTTTTAGGCTTTACCTAGTCGGCATTTTTCGACGCCCCTATCAAATTAATATCGTCAGCAAATTTAAGCACCTTGCTTTCTAATCCCTTCGAAATATTATTCAGAAAGATTACAAAGAACAACGGACCCAACACCAACCCCTGTGAAACCCAGCTCTATGCTAGGTCACACTGACATTTAATACCATTGAACACTACTTTTATTTCCTGTCTTGCAGCCCAGCTCTTACCCAGTCAAGAATGTTTTCCCCAAAGCCATGCAATTTTTAACTGATACGCTGGTATGCTACCCTATCAAAGAC